ATCTTTGAATCAAATATAGGGATCAATCCGGAATAATTCAATAAAAAGTACATTTTAAGCCCATCTAATAACCAAAATGTCATAAAACTATACAAATGAAAAGATATTAAAATACCATTTTTATATTCCATCTAATTTTATTCTTAAAATTAGCAAATTTTAAGTAAATAGTTATTTAATATTTGTATAAATTAATTTGATGCTTAATATTAACTTAAATAAGTATATAAATATTTTGTTTAAACATGTAACAAAAATATTTTTGTTTAACGAATATTAAAGTTTCTAATTTGTGTTCAGTCATAACAATTTAGATTATAATTAGCGATAATGTGTGGAGTGGGGCACCACTAAAAGGATTGTTATTAGTATAAATTATAGCTTATAATTTATAAATGTAATAATTTTCAAAGTAAAATGTATTGAAATTCATCACAAAAGTGAACAGACAAATGTTTTGAAAAATTCTGGAAATATAGTGCAATTCTGAGAAAATATTTAACTCATGCCTTCCTTGCCCTCAATGGTAACACATTGTCGGCAATATTATGATTTGCAATGAGTTTATATTTGAGTGTCTCAAATAATATTCGTTATAAAATACTGTAATATCAAGTGTTAGTCACAACATAGTGCGAAATGAAGACTAGAGAGTGGAAATATGGGCCCCATTAGCCCCCAAAGCACTCACTTTTAATGCTAATTGTATGGCATTTGATAATTTAAAAGACAAGTTGTCTGGCGTAGCAATTAATCTCTCAAAAGAAATGAAGACTAGAGAGTGGAAATATGGGCCCCATTAGCCCCCAAAGCACTCACTTTTAATGCTAATTGTATGGCATTTGATAATTTAAAAGACAAGTTGTCTGGCGTAGCAATTAATCTCTCAAATAGAGCACAATTATATGAGTTATCGGATTTCATTTAAACTTTGTATTCAAGAAAAGTCATTTGAATTCTGAATCACCTGCACTTGTATGAAGTCTGCCCTCAAAGCAATGCTTTCAATGAAATAAATGTTTGAATGCACTGAAGACGTGATTCTCGACACTCGTTACACTTTGACGGATAGTAATACTAATTTCATGCAACTTGTTATTCAAATGTATTAATCTCTCATGGAAATGGAAANCAAAGCAATGCTTTCAATGAAATAAATGTTTGAATGCACTGAAGACGTGATTCTCGACACTCGTTACACTTTGACGGATAGTAATACTAATTTCATGCAACTTGTTATTCAAATGTATTAATCTCTCATGGAAATGGAAATTAATGTGTTTTTGACGATTAAATTCAGTCGATATATTTATTTCATTAAATTCATTACTCTGTCTCCAATAAATTCTCACTAAAATAGACTTTCAATTAATTAGTGTTTTGGGAATAATGCAATAACTTTTTTCAAATTAACAAATGTACTGTCATTTCTTTTTACGCGGATAGGGATTAGGGATTAAAGATTATGGTAAAGTTAATTGTGTTTAATTAGTTGTAAATTAATTTTCTTATTCTTAATAACACATGGTTTGCAATGAGATGAAAGGATGGATATAATGGTGGATAGGAATGGAGTTATTAATAGCAGTCGTGCTTAACATTATTGAAACCAAAGACAAGAATTGTTTGTTCAATGCATTCAATGTATTGACTGTCACTCACTATTGTTGTCTCTAATGGTATAGCCGTTGGATATACTTATGTGGATAGCATTGGCATGACTTCACTGTAATATCGATTTGATTTTCTTTTGTATTGATAGAAGACTTTCATTGCAAACAATTAATTTAGTTTCGGATAATACACTGTTAGTCACACATCTACCAGATAAGCCCACACAACACACAAACTTCTATTTAATTTGCCTTTTTCTCTATTATTGGACACTTTTTTCATATAAAGACTAAACGTATGGCTAAATATATTCTTCCGTTTAATTATACTTTTGGGAGAAATTAATTTGAGCCATAAAATGATCAAATGATCACTTTCTATATATACATTCAGTGATCTCTATGTAGACGTCAGCCTAAACTTCCTGTTCTGCTCTTTATTATTGATCACAAACTCAGGTGTTTTCCTCCGATGACCGATATATCAAGAAAACTTCAAAACTTATACTCAATTCCTTTTAATATACAAGAGTTTTGGGTTCCGTTTGGCATTAAGACTGTCGCCAATTGTATGACCGCTCACTCAATAGACTCTTCAATACTCTTACGGTTCTTAAGGACAACAAAATATTTACTCATAAGTTAAGGGTCTTAACGGAAATCAATTGTTGGCTTCAGTCATCAATAATATATATACCGGTATTACAAGTATTATTAATATATGTGAGAAATGTGATATTTAAACAAATGTTTCTCGAAAAACATCAACAAAATATTTAGTAAAAAATAATTGTAACGTAAGTTGTAGTCAAATGGTCTCATGTTTTGTAATTTCGTAAGAATTTCTAAAAAAAGAGATTCCGTCTGAAAATAGTTGTAATGAATAAAGAGTTGGTGCGATCGTCTCAATAGACTAAACAAATTGAGATGTAATTGTATTTATGATTATAACCATATAAATGACAATCAAATTATATGACAACTGATAAATGACTTAATAGCGAAACTTTATTATATAATATATATGCATATTATGCAGTCACTTAAGACTCTTATATTAATGATTAAGCATGTGATTCAATTAATATTCAAATAAATTTTAATCAAGAATTCAATAAAATATTTTTCAGATATAAATTTCATTTAATATTTCTTTCATTTTGTATCCATTTTTACAGTTTATTAATAAATAAAATATTAATAAATTTGTTTTTCATTTTGAAAATATATTAATGATATATTTGTTTAAAACACTTTTCATTAATTATATTGAAAACATTAAAAAATAATAATAATTATTGTTTTGGTTGAAAAATAAATCTGTAAAACATTTAATCATTAATTGATATGAGAATTAATGAAAATATAAATAAATTACTCGTGAAATTAAAAATACAAAATGACAATGAATTTGATTAAAAGCAATTATAAAATAATTAATTAAAACTTTCAAAAAACAAATCAAATAATACACAAAAATATTGATAATCTCTTTGTAATTATTATGAAATGTTTTCAAGATAAAAATATTGAAACTCCAATGAATGGCAAACAAATAGTTTAAGTAATACTGCGATTAATAGATAGTAATTGAGTTAATCGTTATTCTCTACTCTCGATTCAAATTCTATATTCATTTCAATTAATCTTCAAAATAAATGTCATTTAAATCTCTTTTTTAGTAAAACTTATTTAAAATAAAATTTCTTTCATTTTCTGTCTTCAGGCTATAGATTGAGAAAAAACAAAATGAAACAAAAATTAGAGAAATATTTAATTAAATTTCTGTCAAATAATAAAAAGCAAAGAATACTCACAAGAGTCGGATAAAGGAAAAGGGATGTTCGGTCTGATCCGTGTTGGTTCTCAGCCACACACATGTAGTTCCCCATATCATCCCACGTGAGATCTCGGATTAGGAGATCCCCGTTCTCTAACACCTTATACTTGTCGCTATTGGTGAGGGTATTGTCTTCAGGACCGACCCAACTGATTGTGGGCGCCGGCACTCCACTGGCCCGGCATAGCAGCTGTACGTCTGATCCGATCATTTCCAGTATATTATGGGTCCACATGTGAATCCTGGCCGCAGAGCCTTTATATTGAATAACAAAATACATTCTTTATATAAATATTTTCCATTCAATTCCCCTTCAATTCATTTCATAAATATTTTCGCCAATAATTGATTATATTTCGAGATAAGTCTATGAATTTCAAGTTTAACACTATTTAGAGCCTATAATAGCTAAGAAAACAATTTCATCGAATTATAAATAGTTTAGATATTTTCATATATTTTTAAATAATATTTTTGTCAACATTACTAAACAAATAAAACTTATGTGCATTTACTATAGGTATCGGCTCTCCGGCGCTATTCGTTTCCATTTATATCATATAAAACCAAAAGATTAAAAAAGTGTAAATATTATCCTTGATTTCAATTAAATATTTATAAACATTCACTTTAAGCGCAGATAAAACTTTTCAATTAAGCATTAAATTAATGATAAAATATTGATTCCGACGAAAATTATTTCTACCATTTTCCGAAAACCATTTTCCAAAAAAGTAAATTAAAAAAATTAATTCTCGTTTCTATTTCGTGGAAGTATTAACTCAATTAATTATTTGTAAAACACTAATAAAAATCTTTTCCATTCATAAATAGTTGATGAAAACACATCAAACAATTTATAAATAAATGAAAATCAGTTATACTGTACTGTACTCTAAGTCAACAAAACTTGAAGAGATATCAAGAGATAAAAAGATAATGAAATGTAAGTTAAGAGATAATTCTATAGCATTAAAGCATTACTTAATATAAAGCGGAGTTCGTGTAATAATTTATGTGAACATACCATAAGACTTCTTCGCCAAACATTTGGCAACACTATTGTCCGCTTCGTTGGACAACTCGTTACTCGTCCTCACGTTGGGAACCACTTTAAGATGTGATTCAGCGCTGACACGATGTGTGGGCGATGAGGCGACACACGAGTAGACGGCGTCGTCTTTCGGGTGAACACAGTCCAGGAAAAGCCGGGATCGGGTCAGACTCAGACTCAACTCCCCTTTTTGAATGTCATCGTCGCTCAGAGAACCGATTTCTCCCTATTTTTAGAAATCACATCAAATATGAAGTCTGTTCTCATTTGACATAAATATGAAACTATTGACAAAGATATTGGATATAATGATAGGAAGACATATGAATACCTGATTAATTCTTTTGCCATTTTTGAGCCAAAATATGGTCGGAGTGGGAGACCCGCCGGCCTCGCACTGCAGGATATGAGTTGATGTCTCGATAGCTGTGATCTCCGGCTCCGGCACTTCTCTCATTCGCAAATATGGACTCCGAAATGATTTATTAGATTTCGTAGATTTGTCTGATTTTAATGCCTTTAAAGAGAAATTAGAAAATTGTATCAAAATGTTAGATATAATACAAACGAATAGAAGTAATAAATGAGTGAAAGATGGCATACTTTGGCATATCTGGACTCCCGGCTAAACATTTCAAAAGTATTTTTGGAGGAACTACTTCTGGGCCGACCCTGAGTAGGTTTAAATTCAAAAAGTATTACGCAAACCATTATTGTTATAATAAGTCGATTCAAAAGTGGTGATAAAAAGCTCAAAGCCGTCGATTTACTCGAAATCTTCATTTTATTCAACAATTTGTGATAACTTTTCGATTAAATGAATGAATCAAATGTGTGAACAGTTACGCCGAGCACTGACTTATAGTGAATGAATTACAGGTATTTGACTGTAAAACACGTGAAGATTGAAAACACAATTTGAAAACAAGTGATCAAAAAGTTTATATCGAAACTCGTTTGGTGTGACAACTCGTGAGTGTGAGTATGACTGCACTGAAAGCACTGTTAGTTTGTGTGTTTGGTTCAAAGTCTACAAACTTATATCATTGTTCATTGAGATGTTCTGAACAAGAATTGGTATAATCATTGAATTTATGGCATTCACGCTATGCTGTAGAGGCTGTGAACGGTGATGAAATGTGGTGAGCAAGGTGACGTCAATTTGCAGCGCCTGGACAGCCAATCCATGTGCCCTAAGAGGCGCACACATCCACCAGATTGGCTCCGATTGGCATCTCTTCTCTAATGAACTCCAATCTGAGATAACATTCAATATATCTTTCTATTAGCAAACTTTTGGCTCATTTCCAAAGCTCTTGAAATTTGAAATACTAATACGAAATACGTGAATAACTTTCATTTGCTATGATTTCAAGTGGTTTTAAACTCATATAAAATATGATTTACTAAACGATAAGAAATCTTTGATTGTCTAAAGAAAGAGAAACTTGAGTCCACATCACATCCGATCAATCAATCAAAACCCGATTCACAGTCACTTCATCTTCATTTCAATCCACATTTACATGCATTCAATCTGAACGTACAGTACATCTGATACCTGAAACCCGATTATCAATTCAATCTTTCAGACATTCATGCATTTTGTAGACATAAATATCACTGTTAGTAATATCTATTCATTAATCAAAATAATGTGTTATAATAATAATGTTAACAGTAATTATGGATTCATAGATAGTTTAGTCGAGACTCAAAGTAAAGTAAAGAGTATTAAATTGAAACAAAAATTTCTTCATTCGTTACATTAGTCTCAGTTTAGTTGAGTTTTATAAATTCATTTAATTAATCACTTTTGCCTTCAAATCATCATTAAGTTAAGAGACGATAAAGAAAAATAAGACTCAATTTAATGGAAGTAATGGGTAATGGGTTTGTTAACATTCAATACAATTATATAAACTTAATATAAACTCTCTGTGATATTACCATTACATGCAGTCTCTATGTCTACGCTCTATCAATGATCACAACTTGTGATCAATCTTTTTCTTATATCCCGAATACTATACTTCAATTCAACCACTTTTATCACTTCTCTACCCAATCATAACTTCATACATTCATTCAATTGTAACTCAAAGAATGTAAACCCTTTCCTCATGTCATATTAAATTTCCATGACTTACACTACTATTCACTGCTCTCTCATTGATTAGAATTGTAAAAAATTAAAAAAACAAAACAATTAAATTTCAAATATTTATTCAAAATAGCGTATAATTGATTGTTATGCTATGCATACAGTACTATGCTAATATGCATACTACACTGTACTATCAGTTTTCAAATATTCCAAAACTTTAATTCAGTGAACACTAGTCTATTGCAGTGTTGAGTGAGTACTTGATTCAGTACTTGATTCAAGTCAATTTAAGTCAATTCAAGTCAATTCAATGACAATTATTTGGACTCCTTTACGCTTTATATAAAAACAATTTCATGTAATGTAAACACAATTAGTAAAACATTTTATTTCTCCCACTACTACCTATAGTATGAGTCAATTCTCAATTGATTCATAAAACACTAAATTGTGATATAAAAGGGAATTCTTGACAATTATTCTGA